ATAAAATTTGGCATGCTGGTCTTCTCCATAAGCTTTCTTCTTACGATTTATCTGGTAACATTTTTAAGATTATTGAATCCTTTCGTTCCAATCGTAGTATAAAAGTTGTCCTTGATGGACAGCACTCTCCATATCCTGTAACTTCAGGGGTTGCTCAAAGTTCAATCCTTGGCCCTATACTCTTTTTAATTTACATTAATGATCTTCCAGATATTCTCACATCCAAGGTGGCATTGTTCTCTGATGATACTACCATTTATACTTGTCATTATAAGAAGCCAACACTCTCTGATTGCTTGGAGTGGGCATTTGAGCTTGAAAATGATCTCACTTCTGTTACAGCATGGGGCCCACAGTGACTGGTGAACTTTAATTCAGATAAAACTCAATTTTTTTCAGCCAATTGTTATTGCAATAATTTAGATCTTCCTATCTTTATGAATAATAGTTCACTCGATAAGTTATCTACCTGTCATCTTCTAGGATTAACTCTTACTTCTGATTTTTCTTGGAAACCTTATATCAAATCAGTTGCAAAATTAGCATCTGATAAGGTTGCATCATTTATCGAGCTCGTCACTTTCTTACTCTGGATTCTATTCTCTATCTCTATAACTCTCAAATCTGGTCTTGTATGGAATACTGTTGCCATATCTTGGATGGATCTTCTAACAATGCCTTTTCTTTTTTAGACAAGGTGCAAAAACGCAATGTAAACATAGTTAGACCTGCTCTTGCAGCCAACCTCCAACCATTATCACATCGTCGTTATGTTGCTTTCTCTTTCTCATTCCTGTAAATACTATAATGGGCACTGCTCTAAAGAGCTAGCCTCTTGTGCCATCTACTAAAGTTCATTTTTGTGTTACTTGTCATTTAATTAAGTCTATTCGTTTTTCTATGACTGTTCCTAAGTGCTCCAAAAATTCTTATTAAATTCTTTAAGCACATGCTGGCTTATGCAAACTTTGCTTTTTAATATTTAATGTTAATTATTTACCATTATTATAAATAAAATAATATTTACTATTGATATAAATAATATAATAAAATAATTTACTATTAATATTATTTAATACTTATAATAATAATAACAAATACTATTTGTAAATTCTTTAGAGAGATGCACATCTCACTTAAGTATTTACAAATAGTATTTGTCATTAAATAGTAAAGTATTTATTAAAAAACACTAAAGAAACAGTAGACTTGAAACTCTACATACATAAGATTCTCTAAAAAGAGTTTAAATTTTAAAAAATGTGTAAATATACTCTTAGCAACTCCATTAGCAAAATGTTTAATATAGTTTAAAAAACTGTTTTGCTTTTGAAATGGCTTTATAATAAATTTTTACAAGTTTTTAATATTTAAAATAAGTAAATCAAGTACAAAATTATTTTTAGTTATTTACTTATTTTTAATTAGTTATTTAGTTATTTACTTTAACATATTTTTACATTTCTAACTGGATAAAATTTAATATAAATTACAATTTCACATACCTTTTGGGCAGTGTAAAATTGTAGTTTGCATAATTATAAAACTTTACACAAAAAATCGTCGTAAATATGTTGTAGGAGTCTGTAACTTTATAATGTAGCTATTTTGTAGAAGTTTACATTGTAAATTTGCTTTATAGGCTAGGCCCCAGGCCCCAGATGTTTTTTTAGCCAAAAAAACTATGCAGATTTGAGAGCCTAAAATTAGGCCGGAAGTACAACCGGAAGTATAATGGCAAAACAACAGATATTAACAACATATTGTTAATATCTCATTTAATAATTTGTTTTGAAAAGTTTAATTAACTTTTAACTTATTTTTTAATGTTTATCTATGATATGAACACAACTTGTTTTGACACTTGGGGGTCCCTTTAAACATAAAAACACATTTTTTTACAACACTAGTATGAGGCTATATTTAGATTTTTGTAAATTTTTCAATATTTAGAGATTTTATTTTGCAGCTCAAAATTATACAACTGCTGTATGAATTGTTTATTGAGCTCTGTTGGTATAAAACAACTCAAACGTTCCTTCTAGTATTTATATTGTTTTTTATGTTTTTATAAATGTATTTCTAATGTTTATTTTTCTCATCTAAAATATGAAATAAAAATTGTTAAGGATATAAAAAATTTGTAATTTCAATTTAGAACATATTTGTATATCAACAAAGTAGTGTATCAAATATGATACATATTTTGATTGAAGATTACATAGGAAAGTATAATTGCAGTTTTCCCTAAAAATTGTAATGATTCCTGCTTTATATTGCTTGCAATTATTTTATTAGTTTTATTATAAAAGTAGAAAAAAAAAACACATACACACATACACACACACACAAACACACACATTATTATGATTATATGTTTAGAGTAAATTAGCAAGATAGTAGTAAAAGAGGTATTATTGAGTAAAGGCAAATATATAGATAAATAGTAATGATTGTCAGGGTATATATATATATATATATATATATATATATATATATATATATATATATATATATATATATATATATATATATATATATATATATATATATATATATATATATATATATATATATATATATATATATATATATATATATATATATATATATATATATATATATATATATATATATATATATATATATGTATATATATATATATATATATATATATGTATATATATATATATATATATATATGTATATATATATATATATATATATATATATATATGTATATATATATATACATATTATGTTCTATATGTGTATTCTATAAAGTATGTTATTGTATTCTACAAATGTTCTTAAAAAAGAGAGCAATAATAAATTATTAAAAACATTTATCAAATTTTTTCTATGACAGGCTGTTCCTCTTTCTGTAGATTGATAAGAAAGCTACCTTATGAACAGAAATAAAAAATTAAAATATATATATATATATATATATATATATATATATATATATATTATATATATATAGGCTTGTGTAGCCAGAGCCAGGGAGCCGCTGTTTGGTGGAGCGGGAGCCTCAAAAATCGAGCGGCTCTCTGCTCTCGGGTTTTTTTTCAAGGAATAGAATGTGTAATTTATATTTTTTTATTCTAAACAAACTTTATTCATTTATTGTTTAACATTGAATTTCTATTTTTTAAAATATTTTTTCTAACAGTTACGGTCTTGCCAAAACGTTATAAAAATGATTTTGTACTACCCTTTAATAGTATTTCTTAATATGCTTTATTAAAAAAAAAAGGAAATTCTATATGAAAAAATTACAGTATTACATATATTGCTTTATATCATATTTTTATACTGATACTATGCTGTTAAATATTTGATGCGCTATTTGATGATCAAGGGTTATTCATATCTTTAAAACTATATTAAAGATGCGATTGCTAAACTTGAAACGATGAATTTCTTTTTAAAACTTGTCACTAACTCATTTTTAATGTCTTTCTTTTGTGTGTAATTACTTTAAGTAATTATAGTATTAGTTAAAAACATCAACAAACAAGTCAAAATGTTTCTATTAATTATATTTTCATTAAAAAAGTTTAAAAAAAAAACGAATAAAAAGTCTGCACAACAATCTACCATATTCGTCTGCATTGTTACTTACAATCGCCAAAGCATCTGAATCTAGCAAAACTACTGTTTATATGGCCATAAAACAATACATGAGCTCTCTATCTATCAAATGAGGAACTGGAAGAAAGAGTAAGGATAAGAAAGAGTAAGGAGTAAGCAACGATCATCAATCAAAATCTTTGTTTATCGAACAAAGAACCAAAAGGTTTTAAATTTTTAAAGTTTCAGAGTTTTTTAAAGATTAAATTTTGGCAAGTAATATGCAGTTGTGGTTTGATATCTCGAGCTTTTGTCACATTGTCAACTTTAAACTCGGATGTTTACATCAAAGAATACTTTGCAAGAAGACTTTTGCAATTTTATCAAAATCATGATGTCCCCTGTTAGTTCGGGCCTAATTTTGCTTCATTTCATTATTTTAAGAAAATTGGTAAAATTCGAGAGACATCAAATTCATACCAAAAAGCTTGAATTCATTAATCTGCATACAGTTCCGTCCCATTGAAAAATTTTGGAGAATTGGCAAAGGATATTTGCGTAAAATTGCATAAGATTGGCAAAACAATTAGTGCAGCTAAAGATTTGATTAGAGAGTGAACATTAGTAGGGAAAAAATTTGTAAAAGGCACTGTGCAGAAGTTGATGTTGTCAATCAGCAGAAATGTTGGCTATTCGAAGAAATAAAAAATATTAAAATAAAAAGCACTTTTATAATCTTCAAGTACCTTAGATTAAAATAAATATTGAAGTTTTTGCATTAGTTGAACTATTTCTTGTTTTTTTTTGTTTTTTGAATTTTTTATCGTTTTGAATTTAACAATAGCATGTTTTACCCAGTGGCATGGGATATTCAAAAGACATCTTTTTTAGGCACGTGCCCCTTGGGTAAAATTAGAATTAAAATTTGGACTAAAAACTCTAGTTTTGGTAAATAATATATAGAACAAAGTGTTTGTTTACCTAAAACATTTTTTTTTTCAAATGTGATATTCGGTAGTAGAGTAGAGTAGTGATAGTAATGCAATAACCGTGTAATCATGAGAGTTGGTTAAAAATTAATTGCAACCCATAACTATACCAACTACTGTTGGTATAGTTATGGGTTGACAAATGTGATCAAAAAAATTTCCAAAACTTGAGATTTTTGTTCATAAAGTTCCAGAGCCGGGAGCCAAGCCGGAGCCAGATATTTCCTAGGAGCCAGAGCTGAGCCGTAAAAAAACCAGTCGGCTCCACAAGCCTGTATATATATATATATATATATATATATATATATATATATTATATATATATATATATATATATATATATATATATATATATATATATATATATATATATATATATAAATTAGTAAAAACACTTACCTAATTTTCTTCAACAGATTGTTTCTTCATCTGTAGGTTTGAGAAAGTCTAAGGAAATCTTCCTGATCAACCTCCTGATGGATAAACAAGCTGTTGAAAAAAAGATAGGTAAGTGTTTTAACTAGTTTGTTATTGCTCTATGTGTATATATATATATATATATATATATATATATATATATATATATATATATATATATATATATATATATATATATATATATATATATATATATATATATATATATATATATATATATATATATATATATATATATTTATATATATATAAATTTAAATAGTCAAACAGATTCTAAAATATTTTTGTCATTTGGAAAGAAAACAAAATGACACGCTTTTATTGACTTTTTTTTTTTCGTTTATGCTGAAAATTAGGAGCTGCGCAAAATCTGGCAGATAATAATCAGTATTCTATACTATATTTAAACAATTTAGAGTAAATTAATAAAAAAATTTAAAATTGATTGAATCATGCAATAACAAAGTAAAAATTGTAATTTTTCATAACTATTTTGTTGTTTACGTTTACAATCTAGTTGTACTACACGTCCCAGAAGGTTTTACATTAGCAGTTACAACAATTTTATTCAATTTTTTGCCAAATCTCAACCCACTGATTTTAGCAATTGTTTTCGCATGTCTTAATCCAAGAAAAGCTACCAACTCAAGTCTTAGTATACTGTTAAATATTTAGGTTTTTGACATAATGAACAAGCTTCAAAAATATTCATTATATCAGAAACCTATTTGTTTTAAAATGTTTTCTAAAAATTGTTTTGAACATTTTTTAATGTTTGAAGTTGTTTGTAATAAAATCTTAAAGTTTTTATTATTAAAAGATTTTTTTGATCTTAAAATCATTGATTGAAACCGTTTTTTAACATTCTTATCAAGAATTATATTATTCCTCTATAGTTCATCAATCTTTAATTCTTGCATAATTTTATTGCTAAAAAACTTTTGGTCGACATTTGATTGATCAATATTGATTGTGGTATCAAAAATTTCTAATAACTTTATATATAATCTTAAAAGATTCCTAAAGTTAATTTCTCCAATATGTACATGCAGCAGATACCATATTCCAATCATTTTATAGTCAAGATTTCTAGAGTTTTAATAGTATTCGTGTAAATGATATGATAGTGTAAACGATATCTGTGTATGCATTTTCCTAACTGAAAGTTTTTAAAATTGTTTTCTACAATCAAAAGGTGTTTGTGTTCATGCATCTCCTTTAAAGTGTTATGTTGAAAATTTTAAAAATTTAAATAATCGAATGCAGATTTTAAAAATTTTAATAATGAATCAGTTTTTAAAAATTTTCTTATTCCTCATTTTATTAGATTGCTTATTTATTACATTTTATGAGTTTCTTTATTGATTTTATCAAATTAATTAATTAATTAGTTTTAATGGTATCATTATTTATTAATGTAATAATATTGTAATTAACTTTACATTAAAGCTAATAACTTAAGTTATTAGGAGTGGTTAATTTACATTTATTTTAACATGAAAACATTTAAAAATATTTTCTTTCTTTTTTTTTTCACATGAAATATAATTTTTATTTTTCTAAAGTTTGAGATAAGAGAAGTGAATGGAAACAAAAGTTATTTTTATTTTTATGTAAGATTAAAATTAAAAATATTGACCAATTTCAGGATTGTGAAAAACCCAGAGTTTTTTTTAAAACCCAACTCGAATGGTTTTTTTTTGGGTTTCTTTAAAACTTGATCAAAATTCAAAACATTTATTATTGTGCTGTAAATTTCAAAAACCCATCTCCCGATTGCTGCATTGTCCTCTACAGTCAATGAGCAACTCATTTTTTAAAAATATTCTCTCTGGATCCTTAACTTGGGTCACTAAAAATTTCAAACAAGGGTGCTGTGCGGAGAAACAGATTGAGCATAGTAATTTCAGAGAGAGGTAGATTTGAATCAAAAACGACAAGGTTACTTTGGGTGAAGAATTTTATGGAGATTCTGAATCTGCAAAAAAATTTTTTTCTAAATGTCTAGCTGGGTGGGCCAGTGTTGTTTTTAACAAAAAAATGACTGAAATGTGATTAATTAACAGGGCAAAACTATAATTTAAAAATTTTTTTTTTTTTGATTAACTTTATAATTGATATGTTGAATTTTAAGGAAATTGATTATTTGGTTCAAAAAGTGGTAAAAATAAACACAAAAAAGGAGTTTTTGTACATTTTTACAAAAATCTCTTTTTTCGCATTTTAGACAAAAAATGTTACGATAAAGTGTGTTGTTTTTTTCCTGTTTTTATCAAGTTTTAAAAGTAAGGGTAGTTTTATTTTGCAGGGAATTTTATAGAGAATGTGAATGAAAAAAATAAATAAAAATAAAATATGTCTTGTTAGGGGGAACGCTTAGTTTTCAATGAAAAAATGACTAAAATATGAATAGTTAAAGAGAAAAAATTATAAATCGAAAAAAAAAAAATATTTGATAAACTCAATATATACTATGTTTAAACTTTATGAAAGTATTATACTTTATTAAAAAGTCAAGTAGATAAAGTATTATCATCTACTTAGAGAGGAAGTAGATGATAATACTCAGTTAGGAGAGTTTCAGTAAGAATTCGCAAAACCCCTTGCATAAAAAGTGCTGATAAGTTTACTAATCTAATTGAGTCTAACTAACTTACTAAAAAATACTTAATTATTTCTATACTAATCTTTATTTACTTGAATATTTTTAAGTAAACTATAAAAAAAAAATTAATTTAAAAAAGTTTGCTGTAAGAGCGGAAAAATTAACATGCACACCTTTCCACATACGTATTTATAAATTGGTTTAATTTTTACTTAATCTTAAACGTATATCATGTATATCTTTGACAGCTCATTGGATTAGCTGTCATTTTTGTCATTTCCGAGGTTTAATTTTAAAGACTTCAAACTCTGACCAAAATGGAGAATGTGAAACTAAAACTACAGAGTTTTTCTTGGTATTTGTTTTTCTTGGTTTATTATTTTTTTTTTCGAAAAAAATTCATCCTAAATATTTTTATTAAACATTTTTTTTACATATGAAAACAAACTGTTTCAGCACTTAGAGAAAAAGTTCAGAACAGAAGTTATCCCTTTAACAGTGTAATACTTCCTGTTCTGAACTTTTATAATTTTAGAAAATTAAATCTAATCTTGTTATTTGTACATATTATTATATGTACAAATAACAAGATTAGATTTAATTTTCTAAAATTATAAAAGTTCAGAACAGGAAGTATTCCATAATAATAATATTAATCTTGTTAGTAATATTAATTTTCTTATTTTTTTATGATTGAAATCTCATTTTTTAAATGGGGTGAAAATGATTTAAATTTAAATTTTATGGGGTGATTAGTCAATTTGGGGTGAATATTTTTTAGATTATGGATTTGTTTTACAAGTGGATTTGTGCTAAAGCCTAGATTTTTTAGCTATTTTTGCTTGAGTCTAACTTGTTTTATAATTTTATTTTCCTTTCTTTTGTAATTTTAAGGCAAATTTTCTAAAATTAGAGAAACAAACTTAAATTCTTGATAAAAAAATGTCATTTTAAATAAGCAAGTAATTAGATACAGATAAGCTACACCCTGAATTCTGATTTAATTAAATCAATATGTATTTGAACTTGATGTGTAGCAACTTTTATGGTGTCTTGTTATGTGGTTCTTAAAATACTTTAATAAGTCACTAATTGCCTGAACTTCTGCTGTTTATATGGGATAGAGAAAAGCTGAAAAAAAATTGTTTGCACAGCCATAATGCTTCTTATTTAAAGTAACTAAATCAAAGTAAAGCAATTATTAATTAGGCTCTATTGTTTCTTCACCTTTTAGTAAACTTGGTCTTGGCGTTCATTTTCACCCTGTTGTTACCAGTCATGGAAACAGCCAGTTGACTGTTCATGTTGTAAACCTGATATAAAATTTTTAAACCTGATATAAAATTTTTAAACCTGATATAAAATTTTTAAACCTGATATAAAATTTTTAAACCTGATATAAAATTTTTAAACCTGATATAAAATTTTTAAACCTGATATAAAATTTTTAAACCTGATATAAAATTTTTAAACCTGATATAAAATTTTTAAACCTGATATAAAATTTTTAAACCTGATATAAAATTTTTAAACCTGATATAAAATTTTTAAACCTGATATAAAATTTTTAAACCTGATATAAAATTTTTAAACCTGATATAAAATTTTTAAACCTGATATAAAATTTTTAAACCTGATATAAAATTTTTAAACCTGATATAAAATTTTTAAACCTGATATAAAATTTTTAAACCTGATATAAAATTTTTAAACCTGATATAAAATTTTTAAACCTGATATAAAATTTTTAAACCTGATATAAAATTTTTAAACCTGATATAAAATTTTTAAACCTGATATAAAATTTTTAAACCTGATATAAAATTTTTAAACCTGATATAAAATTTTTAAACCTGATATAAAATTTTTAAACCTGATATAAAATTTTTAAACCTGATATAAAATTTTTAAACCTGATATAAAATTTTTAAACCTGATATAAAATTTTTAAACCTGATATAAAATTTTTAAACCTGATATAAAATTTTTAAACCTGATATAAAATTTTTAAACCTGATATAAAATTTTTAAACCTGATATAAAATTTTTAAACCTGATATAAAATTTTTAAACCTGATATAAAATTTTTAAACCTTATAAAAGAAGAATGAGTAAAGAGAATAAAATTATTTTATTAAAAAATAAAAAAATATTAACTAAAATTTAAATTACATATCTCTTGTAATTTAAATTTTAGTTAATAGAATGATTTTATTTCCTTTATAAAGAGAGAATATTTTTAAAAAATGAGTTGCTCATTGACTGTAGAGGACAATGCAGCAATCGGGAGATGGGTTTTTGAAATTTACAGCACAATAATAAATATTTTGAATTTTGATCAAGTTTTAAAGAAACCCAAAAAAAAAACCATTCGGGTTGGGTTTTAAAAAAAACTCTGGGTTTTTCACAATCCTGAAATTGGTCAATATTTTTAATTTTAATCTTACATAAAAATAAAAATAATTTTTGTTTCCATTCACTTCTCTTATCTCAAACTTTAGAAAAATAAAAATTATATTTCATGTGAAAAAAAAAAGAAAGAAAATATTTTTAAATGTTTTCATGTTAAAATAAATGTAAATTAACCACTCCTAATAACTTAAGTTATTAGCTTTAATGTAAAGTTAATTACATTATTATTACATTAATAAATAATGATACCATTAAAACTAATTAATTAATTAATTTGATAAAATCAATAAAGAAACTCATAAAATGTAATAAATAAGCAATCTAATAAAATGAGGAATAAGAAAAAGTTCAAAAGGATATCTGATTACTCATTTTTTAAAACTGATTCATTATTAAAATTTTTAAAATCTGCATTCGATTATTTAAATTTTTAAAATTTTCAACATAACACTTTAAAAGAGATGCATGAACACAAACACCTTTTGATTGTAGAAAACAATTTTAAAAACTTTCAGTTAGGAAAATGCATACACAGATATCATTTACACTATCATATCATTTACACGAATACTATTAGAACACTAGAAAGATTGATGAACTATAGAGGAATAATATAATTTTTGATAAGAATGTTAAAAAACGGTTTCAATCAATGATTTTAAAATCAAAAAAATCTTTTAATAATAAAAACTTTAAGATTTTATTACAAACAACTTCAAACATTAAAAAATGTTCAAAACAATTTTTAGAAAACATTTTAAAACAAATAGGTTTCTGATATAATGAATATTTTTGAAGCTTGTACATTATGTCAAAAACCTAAATATTTAACAGTATACTAAGACTTGAGTTGGTAGCTTTTCTTGGATTAAGACATGTGAAAACAATTGCTAAAATCAGTGGAGAGAGACTTGTCAAAAAATTGAATAAAATTGTTGTAACTGCTAATGTAAAACCTTCTGGGACGTGTAGTACAACCAGATTGTAAACGTAAACAACAAAATAGTTATGAAAAATTACAATTTTTACTTTGTTATTGCATGATTCAATCAATTTTAAATTTTTTTATTAATTTACTCTAAATTGTTTAAATATAGTATAGAATACTGATTATTATCTGCCAGATTTTGCGCAGCTCCTAATTTTCAGCATAAACGAAAAAAAAAAGTCAATAAAAGCGTCAAAAAGTGTCATTTTGTTTTCTTTCCAAATGACAAAAATATTTTAGAATCTGTTTGACTATTTAAATTTATATATATATATATATATATATATATATATATATATATATATATATATATATATATATATATATATATATATATATATATACAGCCATTGTATATAATAGTGATGTGGTGGGTGCCCGGGTCCGAACCGGGCACCCACCACATCACTATTATATACAATGGCTGATGATTGGCAAAAAGCATAAAATTCAGAGATTCATCAAAAGTTGTTTTTATTTATTTATATAAATAAATAAGTATTGTTAATAGTAAATAAGTATTAAATAATAGTAAGCTCTTTCAAATGCAGAGTTTTTGTATTATTATTATTCTACCCTAACCTTTTTATGTTTAAGTTTGTTAATAATAAATTTATAGGAGCTAAAATAACGTTTTTGGTTTTTTTCAGGTTGGGTTTTTTCCAAACCCTGACTAATGGTGAAAATCAGTTGCTAAATTGCTTTGTTTTCAAAAAATTTATTTTTAAAGCTATTATAAATTATTATTCTATTTTCATAAAAAATGCATTGCATTAAATATGATAGTGGTTATTAATGTTAATAAATTTGATATTTCCATGCCAGCATCAGATCCTAAAAAACAAATCAAAGATTCTTATCTGGATTAAATCTTTGGAAAAACCTTTAAATTTTAATTAAGTCAAAATAAATTGTACCTTTGTTTGTTTGAAAACTATATGAAGCTATATTAAATATTTTAATTAAAATTACAATATTAATCTATTGTTTTATTTAACTCAATAATAAAAATAATTTAAGATTGTGTTAAGTTTTAATATTTCAAAACAAAATATAAAAGTTTTGAACTTTAAATTTTTTTTATTTTGCTTTATCTTTATTAGGTAATTGCAGCTACGAATTATACTACAAAAGTATCATGATTGCAACACCTGAACTAATTTTTAACAATAATTTCAGCAAAAAAATAAAAACACCAAATTCTTTGGATTGGAGAAAGGCTGCCAATATTGTTTTAGACAAAGTACCATGTGATCAATCAATAGAGCTAATTGCAGATAATTATATGGACAGAAATTTTTCTGATTTAACAGATGTCATTTGTGTTTGCCCCTCCTTATCTGGTAAAAATTGTATAACCTTGATAATTGAAAAGTTTAATAAATTGTTTTCTAACAAAACTGGTGTTCGTGCTATTATACCTGGTTATCATTTACGCTATCATGCTTCCCTTTTAAAGTGTAATGTTGAAAATATTCGAAGTTGTAAAGATGAAGACAGAATAATATTATTTTACTCTGAACTCAATCTTGTTTTTATTATTCGTATTGCTACTTCATTAGCTTGCATCCCGTTAGAATCTGAAAATTGTTTGAATGATATTGTATTGTTTTTTAATATTAATAGCCTTTACATTGAAGCTAATAAATTAGTTGTTCTGGGAATTATTGTTTTACCAACATTTGAGCGCAAAAAATTAAATAAAGAATTGTTTTTTCTTTTTTCTGAAACCTGGAGAGAAGAAAAAGATCAAAATAATGAGAAGGAACAAGAGTTAAAACAAATTTTATTTCTATGTAAGGATGATATCGAAGATAAAAATATTAACCAATGGTGGAGATCAGTCACTGCATATTGCTTTGAAAAATGTAATAATAAAAGCAACAGTTCAGTGTTTTTTAAAAAACTTATTGGATTAACTATGATAGTGATGGCTACTCTTGATAAAGTCAATCTACCCACAATAGACTTTGATCCTCAAAAACAAATCAAGACATTAATACTCAACAATGAACAATGGGAAGCCATATATGACATGGAACTTAAAAAAATTGTCTCTGGAGGATACGGTTCAGGTAAATCTGTTGTTGGAAAGGAAATCGTTAAAAATTGCATAACTAAAAAGTCAGAAAATCCTTTAACCTTGTACTACATATGTTGTAACCATTTTTCTTTGTTTCAATGTGAAATGAAAGAATTTGTTGACAGTATTAAGAAAGCCCCAAACATTACTGTTATTTGTGATAATTTGTATGAGTTATGGAAAAAAATGCATGTAAACAAAGATATTAAAAACGAATACATTTCTATTCCAAAATTATTAGAGTATTTGGTTTTTATTGATACTAATAAAGTCTATTTTGTATTGGATGAACTGTCACCTGATTATATGAAAGAAGAAGATGCAGTTCAACTAAATATTTTATTTTCATCTGCATTAAAAGAATCTTTAGTTGTTTTTATACCTGAAAGTGTTGAAAAATATCGAAAATTGATAAAAAATAATAAAAAATGCTTAATCCAAAAGAATTATTTTAATGAAGAAGCACTAGACATGAAGGTTTTTACTCTTAGTAAATCAATGAGAGTAATTGGATGTAACAAATTATTAATAGATTCTTCACAAGATTCTATTTGCGAATCAAAAACTGTTTGTAATTTTCCAAATTTAATTGTGGATAAAATATCACCTAATAATAAAAATAATTCATTTGAAAATAAACATTCAAAAACAAAAGAGGTTCTTCAAAATGATTTTTTATTGATGAGTTATAAAGATAAATCTATTAGTAATTCAAAGTTAAATAATACTTATACAGTTGTTGAAAATTTGAGTGATTTTGGAAAGACGAATGATAAACGCTTTGTTTATAATCCCCATGATGGTGAGGAAAATCCTTTATCAAATACAAAAATAGATAGTACCATCGATGAAATTGGAATTGATTTTTATGAATACGATTATGACCATATGTCAAAGCATGTAGCAGTTCAAACTAATAAGGTAGTTTCAACATAACAGAAAAGCGATCTGTAAAAATTCTGAGACATAACAGAAAAGCGATCTGTAAAAATTCTGTCTGTTGTGTTAGAGTATGTTTGTTTTAACAAAGTAAGAAAAACTGTTGTTATATGCAATAACATGGAAGATGTTCCATTTGTTTCATATGCAATAGATATTATTGGAAAATATGAATCAATAACTTATACACCACATTTACAGAAATACACTCCTAAATTAGCAGAAAAGGTTGAAGTTACGAAGAAGCTAATAAATAAATTAAATATTCTTGTAACTGACTGCAAAGGGTTTTCTGGAGCTGAATCTGAATCTGTAGTTGTACTTGTGAAACAAGATGAGATTTATCTTCGACATACTCTTGTAGATGCCATGGCAAGATCAACTTCACATTTAACAGTTTTAGTTTTAGACCATGGATATAAAGATATTTTGGATAAAAATGTAACTATTGCAAATGTGTTAAATAATTGGCCAGAAGAAGGAGTGGAAAAAATAAAAGTTCGTATATGTACTAATGAAAATCAGCTGTGGACAGAAGACATAGATGAAAAAATCATAGTTCATGTATGCAATAAAAAAAGCCAATTGTGGCGATGTAAAGATAATTTTTTAATAATATGTGAACATTGCCAAGATTTTATTGATCGTGGATTAAAAAAAGACTTTGATACATATAAAGACAATATACAGTTCAGAATTCATGATGAAAATAACAACAAGTATAATTTTTTACCAAAAATTATATATATATATATATATATATATATATATATATATATATATATATATATATATATATATATATATATATATATATATATATATATATAAAGTTTTTTTTCATTAACCTAAACTTTAAAATTATATTATAAAAAATGTTTAGTTTGTACTTTGAAGTATAATAAAATTAGTATTTAGTAATTACTTATTACAATTGTGGAAAGTTAGTGTTATTATCGGGTGGACATGGAAAAATCCGGTCAACTTTAAATTAAGATTTCTCTATAACCACAAATGCTTTTTATTTCTTTTATTTTTTTAATTAAATGTTGCTTCCTTATTTTTAACTTTGTTGATAAAATTTTGTTTACAAATCAATGATTTGCAAAATGTTTCGGATACAAACTGTTGTGCGTAAATAAGTTGTGAGTTTGTTTTGCAAAAATCCATTAACTTTATATCGCTTGATTGCTAAACGTACTAATGTCCCAAAATCTACAGTCATAGATTTTATAAATAAGTTCAAGACTACTCAAACCTTCGAAAGAAAACTTGGAAGTGGAAGAAAGAAAACTTTCCATAAATCCAAACAGGTAAAGTCGATTTTACGTTCAATAGCAAGAAACCCAAACCAGTCACAGCGACATCTAGCAAAAAAATCAAAGACTTTGCGTTCTCAAATAAAAAAATTGCTTAAAAATACTGGAGGTAAAGTATTTAAAAAGAAAAATACATCTAAAAGAAGCATAATTGGTGAAATTAAAGGAATTCAACGCGCAATGAAGTTGTTAAAAAAATGGCAGATAAAAGTATGTGTATAATTGAAGATGACGAAACTTATTGCAAGGCGGATTTTTCACAACTTCCTGGTCAACATTTTAACAATGAGAACAAATATAAACCTGTTCCTTCAACTTAAACTTCCTCCAAAAAAGACTTTTGCAGTTTATGAAAAAACACAAATACCATGTCTTGTTCGGCCAGAACTTGATGCTTCTTACTATTCTAAAAAAGTTCTAGAGAGGTGCAAGGATAATAATTTAAAAATTGTTACTAAAGACGCAAATCCTCCAAATTGTCCTTAAGAGTGCGAATTAGAAGATTTTTGGGCTAAAGTTAAAGGAGTTCTTCGTAAGACAGGTAGAGTAACAAAAAATAAAAAGGACTTCCAAAAAAAGTTGATTTATGTCACCAATAAGGTGAAAAAAGAAAATATCTGCATCAACCCAATACAAAATTTGATTTCTTGCCAAACAGCCCATCAAGCCCCTTAAAATTAAGTTTAAACTCTAATTGGCGTGAATACTTTTAATAATAAAAAATAATGAAATACAAGCTGCTCTCCATGTTCAGGCAACAGCCTGTTTCTTTTGGCCTAAAATTTGTTTCCTGTTGTGCTGAACAGATGTTCAGTTTAACGGATGAAGGAGGTGTGCACAAAACTATCATTAAGAACCTTATTAAATCCCACTTGTTAGTGTTTATCATAGCAAGTGTAATTATTAGCACCCATCATTTATAAGAGCATTTATTTTTTTGTAATGCTGGATTGCTAAAGTTGAAGTTGACTGCATCCATGCTGAAATAAAAAAGTATGAATCATAATTTTAACTAATTTTAAATCTTTAAACAAGTAACGAAAAAAGAATATTCTTATCCAGCTTATAAACATTAAAAAATAAAAATGTATAGTTAATAAATAATTATGTGGTGCGAGGAAAGTTAATAATATTAAATGCAACCAGACCCGTAACTACAGGCAGACACGACCTGCCTTAAAAATATTTTGACAATTCGAAGATGTAAGACTTAAACTATTAAAGTTTTAACAAATTAAAAGGAAAAAATTAATATACTTATTAAAAATCTATAAAATTTTATTTGCAATTCGCATTAGCATAAATATTCCGACAATAACTTAAAATTTACTAAACTGATAACTTTAAATTCTTAGAATTTTTAATACCAAACTTCTTCCCAACGCTCTTTGGTTTTGAAGCTGCATGATCAATCTGTACTTTGTTATAAAATAAAAATTAGTGGTTTTTTTTAGAGGCGATCGCTCACAACAGAGAGAATAAAATTAATTCTATAATTTATAAAGTTAATTACATTTACTTAAAGCGTGTACATGAAATAAATGTGAAAGAATAAGTACGTCATTTTTTTTCAGTGGTTATATTAAAATCTTTTTAACTATTTTGTATTTTGTTTACAACGTGTTGTCGTTTACAACGTGTTGTGGTTTCAAAAAAATGTATTAGTTTTTTGATTTAACTTAAAATTAGTTTTAAAAATGAAAAAAGAAGAAGACATAAATATTTGGAAAATCCCGATAGGAGCTACAATTCGATAGCAAAAGCGTTGCAAATACATCCATACACCGTTAGTCGTGTAATCCAACTTTTTTCTCAAACAAAATGGATCAAATGAAAATCTGGTGGTGGAAGAAAGAAGATAAAAAACTAGTTAGAAAACTGGTTAACAGTTTTAAGACTAACCCAAGCCTTTCACTAAGGGAGCGCGCAAACATTTATGGACTTTCTCGTAGTTTTGTTGTAAAAGTTCGAAATAAACATGGTTTTCATTCTTTCAAAGCACAAAAAGTGCCCAACCGATCTAAAACTTAACAAAAAAGTGCAAAAACCCGCTGCAGAAAGTTGTATGACAATTTTATTTCTAAAAATTTCTGTATTATTGAAGACAATGAAACTTATATCAAGTACGATCATCAGCAAATTCCTGGTGCTGTCTATTATATTGCCAAATTTAAAGGAAAAACAAATAAGAAATTTAAATACATAAAACACGACAAGTTTGCTAAAAAAGTCTTGATTTGGCAAGCTATTTGCAGTTGTGGCAAAAAATCAGCACCTTATATTTCACCTTATATTTGTTCCGAAAGTCCGCACTTTCAGGTCAAATATATGTTAAAGAGTGTTAACAAAAACACCTTTTACCTCTCATTAAATCACACGATAAGAGACCTGTGTTCTGGCCAGATTTAGCTTCAAGTCATTATTGTAAACTAGCTTTGGAATGGTATAAAGATAATAATGTGAAATTTGTGCCTAAAACAGAAAATCCTCCAAACTGCCCAGAATTATAAGTTATTGAAAAGTACTGGGCCACCATTAAAAGAATAATGAAAAAAACAAAAAAACTTTGCAGAAATATTAAAGATATTAAAATATCATTTAAAAAAGCATCAAATTATTCTCTTTTTTATGTTGGTGAATTGTGCATGTTGAAAATCATGTAGATACGTGTTGAAAGTCATGCGTTATTTCAATTGTACTTAAAAGTATTCTCATGGGACTTTTTGTTATTTTATATGTATAGAGATGATTTTTGTATAGAATGAGGGAGGTTAAAAGAAAGCTATAAAATAATACGTTTTGTTTATTCAATTAATGGACGCAACAAACCAACAAGCTATTTCGGCAATTATGCTACTGGTATTCGATGGCAACCATCAGTGGTTTGTCCGCCAACTATGAACATACATAACTGCGATGGGCGTATATTAACATGTTTGCCACCACAGATTTATTCTGCACTGGAAGATTTAAGCTTGCCTGCATACCCAGAAGATGACTCAGTTACCTTCGAAGACATCGAGGAAAATATCATGAAGCTTTTTTTTTTTTTTTTTATTTTAGTTCACCTCCTCAAAGCCGAGAAGGCCACTACAGACGAGGAGGCTACTTATTTGTGGCTATAACCCTCTCTCAATTCTATAACTCCGAAACACGAACCTTGATGAACAAGGCCGCTGCGCGAAGAAACGAGTTGAGCGCGGTACTACCAGGGACGTGGTGAGGATCGAACTCCGAACCACTCGTTTATGAAGCGAGCGCTCTACCACTACACCACTACCGCATAAACTTTTTAAAATTTTTAAACCGAAGTCATCGTTAATACTACTCTTTGAATTTGCAACTATAAATAAAGCAAGTAACGAAAGTTACTTGCTTTTTTTCAAAGAATTTTAACGACTAATCTCAAGAGCTGCTGAAGGATTCACAGATAGAGATGATCGAATGCGCGACCAAATCATCACAGGTTTTAACAATGGTGTTACAATCAAACAATTATTACTGGAATCTGAAGAACTAACATTTGCAAAGGCTGTGGAAATTGCTGTTACTCTTGAACAAGTAACCCAGGAAGCTCAACAATTAAATGGTTCCGATAATGTAATGATTGCAGCAACATCGTTACTTCTGCTGACATCTAGTGTGTCCGACACGAACAAAGTTACATTTACCGACACGAACAAAGTTACATTTACCGACACGAACAAAGTTACAGAATTTGGAAATAATGGCATCCAGTATTCTCCCAGAAATGACATTGCCATCATTAAAAGTGAAAATAAATGGAATGCTCTGAACAGCATTAATTGATTCTGGATGCTCTATCACTGTGATTCATGCTAAATTCACACATGGTCTTGTTTTAAAAATTCAAAAACTTATCACAACTTTTGGAGGAGCTGTGCATGTGCTGGGTGAAACGGTAATCAAATTGGAAATTGATGGAATACACCAGATTGTCAATTCTCTGGTTGTAAAAGAAAAACAATTCGGGTTTGATTTGATTTTTGGAATGAATGCAATTGAAAAATTTGGAAGAGTCATCATTTATGGTAATAAAAACCGTACTGTCCGAATGTTAGCATGTGACACAGCGAAATGTGGTGCCGTTACTACAACGATAAAAAACAAAAACAAAATAAACAAAATAAAATATGTCAAAAATACAAACGAAAAAAAAAAGAAACAAAATAAAATGTGCTGTTACTACAACGATCAAAAACGAAATAAACGAAATAAAATGTGATGTCAAAAATACAAATGAAGAAAACAAAAGAAATGAAATAAAACATCAGGACTTCGCAGCAAATTTTGATGGGAAAAATTAAAAATGCAAAAATTCTTGATCTTAAAAAAGCCTACCTCCAAATTCAAATTGATAAAACTCTGGCCATATCAAACGGTGATTATAAATGGGAAACGATATTGTTTTACTAAAATGTGTTTTGGCATTAACGTGGCTCCAACAATAATGACCACAATTCTTCGGCATGTGCTCAATTTAAATCCAACTGTAAAGAAAGCATGTGATAACTACATTGATGATATATTTGTGGATGAAAATGTGGAAACTGCGGAAAATGTAGCAAAGCATCTGCATAAATTTGGGTTACAATGTAAACCTCCACAAAATCTTGAACAAGGACGTGTCTTAGGATTGAAAGTCGAAAGAAATAAAAATGGGGAACTGATATAGAAACGAGACAATGTGGTACTATGTGGTATTTGAACCTTTAAATGCAGTCACACGATCGCAGCTTTTTAGCAAGTTAGGTAAACTCATTGGACATTACCCAGTGACAGGAAGTTTGCATTTACAAGCTTCATACATCAAACGTTTAGCTGGAAATATACCTTGGTGTGATTTTATTTCAGAAGATTGTAAAGAAAAACTGAAAGATTTGCTTCACCGTGTGAAAAAGGAGGATCCAATTGGTGGAAAATGGTTGGTACTAGTGAATGGAAAAGCTGAGCTTTACTGTAATGCATCATCCATAGGACTTGGGGTAGTTCTGCTCATTGGTGGAGTAGTTGTTGAAGATGCAGCATGGCTGCGGCCAGCAAGTGACACACACCATATCAATATAAGTGAACTGGATTCGATACTTCGAGGACTAAACTTAGCTAGTAAGTGGGACATAAAAGAGTTAACAGTATAAAGTGATAGCAAGAGCACCGTAGGATGGTTAAATGCAGTTTTTAAGGAAGAATATCGCGTAAAAACTCGTGGAATTTCTCAGTTGTTAGTACTAAGACGGTTAAATACTATTAAGGAAGTGGCAAAAGGTATCCAGATTGTAGTACAATGGATTCCATCCGAAATAAATTTGGCTGATCAACTCTCATGAATCCCTCAAAAATGGTGCAGTTGGATTACCTGAACAAAAAAACATGGAAAATTCATTCGATTAGTCACTTTATTGTCGCTCGAACATTACAACTTTGCTTGCAAAATAACCAGAATGTATCATGTAAGGAGGTTTCAGCAGTAATAGCAAATTGTAACCAGTGCAACTCCATCGATCCTTACTCCGTACAGTGGAAGCATGGTCAACTAAGTAGGTAGGTGCTGAACTGTACTTATCAATGATTGATTGTGGTTCGTCACGATATACAATATGGCGTAAACTAGTAACTAAAACAGCTGCTGAAGTTGTTGGTAAACTTGAAGAAATATTCTCTTTATTTGGACCGCCGGTATGTCTTCTAATGGACAGCGAATTTCGGTTCAACACGTTAACAAGCTTTGCAGAAGAATGGAATGTAAATTTGGAATATCAAGCAGCACATCGAGCTCAAGGTAATGGTTTAGTTGAACGCATACACAGGACGATAAAAAGAACAGTTGCTCGCTCACATTGTTCAATCGCTCTGGCAGTCTTGCTGTACAACGAGACAATATCATCCTATTGTACTGAAAGTCCGTCCGAGCAATTAAAAAAAAAAAACAACTTGTTTCATTTCAGGTATTGATATTCGGAGGAAGACAGACGAGAAATACGAAATTCAAAGAGGGAGACAAGGTGTGGGTAAAGCCAACTCAAGAAACAAAATGTAACCAACCGTGGATACCAGGTGTAGTGCGAAAGCAAAATACTTTATCATTTGACATTGAATATGCAAATCGGGTATATCCGCATCATATTTCACACCTGCGTCGCTGTACAGACCTACAGAGTTCAAATGAATCAGTCAACGATGTTTTTTACAGACTAAAAGATAAAAACGATAACGCTAAAGGAAGATATCACAATGATGTTACTAAAATTCAAAATGATTCTCAAGAACATGTGCTGCAAGTAACACGCTCCGGACAAACAGTAAAACCCCCACAAAGATTAGATATATGAGTTAATTCACCAAGAGGGCGTATTCTCTTATTTATGTTGGTGAATTGTGCATGTTGAAAATCACGTAGATGCGTGTTGAAAGTCACGCGTTATTTCGATTGTAATTAAAAGTATTCTCATGGGACTTTTTATTATTTTATGTATATAGAGACAATTTTTGTATAGAATGATTGAGGTTAAAAGAAAGCTATAAAATAATACGTTTTGTTTATTCAATTCATGGACGCGACGAACCAACACAAATGGGTTAAATTCTTATTCTGTGCACAAGCTTATGGGTACTACCAAAGCAAAAGTTTAAAATTTTATTAGTTTCCTGCAGGAATAATTTGATTTTTTTTTATATTTGATCTTCTTATATTATTGTATTAAAGTTATTACTTGGTTAGAAATAAAAATTGAAGAGTACTTTTTTTTAGTTATTTTTTTACTTTATCATTTATTTCATGTACACGCTTTATGCATATAATAAAATCAATAAGCTTAAACAGTTGTTTATTTATAAATAGAGGTGATGCAGTGTCAATATTTGTCAGTGTTTGTTACTCTTAAAACTAGTTTAAGCTGGATTTTTTATAGTATTTATTTAATATCATTATAATATATTTTTACAGGAAATATATTTTATATATATAAAGTCTTCAATTAAAAACTACCATCAAGGTGCGTCTTATTAATTATTAATATAATTATTAAAATAATTAATAAAATTATTAAAAAGTTAAAAATATAATACTCTTAAAAAAATGTTTCCTTAACAAATTTAAATCCACTTTCATAAATAAAATTTCTAATTGCATTTGATAGTGGCATGGTTATGAATGTGGACTGGATGGCAGAAATGTAAACGTTTTTGAATCAGAAAAATTTATCATGAATGATTTTTTTTCCATCCAGTTGTTGAACTGTTACTTTGTTTTTCAGTTGTTGAACTGTTACTATGTTTTAAATTTTTGATGTGTTATATTAATATATTTTACAAACTATTAACATATTTAAAATAAACTATAAATTAATAAAATGATACAGGAGGAAGTAAAACTTTGAAAGTTGGTTTTCTTATTCTTAATTATTTTTTTCATAAGTTTGTTACTAAAGTCTATATTACTAAAGTTTTTAGTAGTAAATTTTTTAAACCAGATTAGGCCACAAAACCTTACTTGCCCCACTGCTAACTGACGCCACATCTAGAGTAGACTAGTTAGATTAGATTTGGGCACAAAGCCTCACTTGCTTCACTCCTTACTTACACCGCATAACTGATAATTATTTAGTTTTTTTTAGTTTTAATAGTAAAAGTTGATAATGAATTACATTTGTTAAAAAATTAGTTATTCAGCTAGTACTTTTGTCTAGCTGAACAACTTATTATTAATAATTAGTTATATACAAAATATTATAATTACTTTTAAACAAAAAATATTTATTTAGGTTAGAAACTATGGCTTTTGACATACAAGCAAAACAATACAAAAAAGTAGATAAAAATGGTGAGACTTTAATTAAAATATCAATTAAAATTGTTTATAAACAATAAATTTAAAAATGTATAAATTCTGGTCACGCTTGTGTATAACTTCCAATAAACTACTTAACTACTCGTGATATTTCATAAAACACTCCTTTATCATGATATTTCATAAAACACTCCTTTATCATGACATTTCATAGAACACTCCTCCATCATGGTATTTCATGGAACACTCTAATAACTTTAATTAACTTTCACACAAACATTATACCTGTTTGGTCCAATAGGTTAATTGGTACTTTTGAATCCTTTATCTATGTTTTCTTGTTGTAATTTTGTGCTGGTAGAACATATACTTTAATTAAATAAAAATAATTAATGCATATATTTAATTACAAATTTTATTTGTAACTAGGGTACAAATCAGCTTGAAGCACCAGCCGGAAAATCCAATATTGATTGTTGTCTATAGTTTGAATTTGAAAATTTTAATTGTTAAGGATCTTAAAAATAATTAAGCTCATTATTAGACAGTCAAAAATATTTAAAAACTAATTCAAACTTTGTATAAAATATATATTTTTAAACTTAACACTAAAAGACAATTCTTTTATTTGTTGTATTCTTGACTTATTTAATTTAAAATAATTATATTGTTACATCGCAAAATCGTTACTGTTACACGTCTAGTTTCACTTTCGTTACTAAACTCTTTATAGACACATAATTTTCATGATCTAGGTATAAGGTATAATATAAAAAAAAAAAATTCTTTAAGGTATAATATATATTATAACCAAAAAACCAGGTATTAACCAAAAAGCCTTAAATTTCACTGGCAGTTTTACTCAAGTTAAGCACATGTTTTACAATGTTTTAAATTATGATTTTTATGATGTCTTATAAGGTTGTATAAATGAAATTTTAAAACAGAATTTAAATCTTGAACATACCAGCAGAACTCAAACCAGCAAATCTGAATAGGCCTGCAAAAGTTTTGCATATTGAAAAAAAAATATGTAGAGAAAAAGGTTTCAATTCAGTTAACACCAATTATGATGTTAAGTTTTTATGAATGGTTTCACCATTACAGAAATGTAGCTTAAGCTTATACAAAGTTTCCATAACGAATGTAGAACCAGTAATAAAATAATACAACATTTTTAAGTTGACTTTCAACTTTTATATATTTTGTTGTTGTTGTTACAATGCACATTAATTTGTTTCTTATAAGTAACACATTGTTGAATGTTAATATATTATAAATAATATGGTTATATGTAAATACCGGTAATGTATTACTGATATATATTATTATAAAATATTATTTATAATTATTATATTTGGTAAAAGATTACATCTGTCCAACAACATCTGTGGAGTATTCCAAGATCATCTGTACACTTTTGTCCAAGATCATCTGTATTGTTTTTTTTTTTTACTCTAGTAACATCTGTCTAATATCATCTGAAAATTCAACGACCCCTAACAACATCTTTAGAAAGATGTAACTACATCTGGTAATTTTTCTCCTAGTCCAATAACATCTTGAAGTATTTTCTCCAGATGTAGATGTATTATTAGTTAATATTTTTTTCCAGATGTAATTACATCTGAAAAAAATCCTATATTTAACTACATCTGGTTAAAATAATTTATTATTTTTTAATTCGACTTATAAATAACTTCATCTTGAAAAATACAGATGTAGTTGCACAGATGTTATTACACTTTGATAATTTAAAAGATGTAACTACGTCTGTGGAACCCTAAGATGTAGTTACACAGATGTTATTACACTTTGATAATTTAAAAGATGTAACTACATCTGTGGAACCCTAAGATGTAGTTGCACAGATGTTATTACACTTTGATAATTTAAAAGATGTAACTACATCTGTAATATTTATTTAAATTTTGCACAGATGTTATTAGACACCAATAAAATTTCAGATGTTGTTGGACAGACGATATTAGACACAAATGAAATATTTAATGTTGTTGGACAGATGCTATTAGACATCAATGAAATTTCAGATATTATACCTCATTATATTTACAGATGTTATTAGGCAAAAATTGATGTTGTTACCCTGACCCTTATATTTCTTCAGATATGTATTAATATATCTAAAATATTTGTAAGATAATATATATCATAGATTTATATTTTCATATTAAATTGTTTAATAATTACCAATAATCTATATATAATTGATAATTACGCTAATATCTATTACCATATATTATATTATAATATATATTTCAAAATTACAAGTTAACATTGATATAACATTGATACATATTTCTATCACAAACTTCTTTTATTACATTATTACATATGTAAAATTATTATATATTAAAAATATTACATATGTTTAAAATTGCATGATAATATTGTAAAAAGTAAAATTGATAATAGTAATATATTATCATCACATTTACATATTATCATTATGTTTATTCCAATCATATATATAGACCATCCAATAATTCTTTAAAAATCCAGCATTTTTTAATTTATAACATAAATGTTAGAGTCTGTTAGGGTAATTTGGGTATAAAAATACCTATTTGCAACTTTTTAATTTTTTTTTTTTTTTGTTAATTCACCTCCTCAAGGCCGAGAAAGCCACTACTGACAAGGAGACTACTTATTTGTGGTTATAATCCTCACTCAACTCTAACTACGAAACACGAACCTTGACAAACAAGGCCGCTGCGCGGAGAAACAAGTTGATGAGTTACGCTATGTAATTTCCTTTTAGAATAATGGAATTTATTTTTGTCTGTCTTAACATTGTAAACCTCTAGAATAGTTTTGTGTTAGATTGGTGGTCGTTGGTGCTTATTAGTAAAAAAAACTCTAGCTGTTTGTTAAAATATACTCAAATTATTCTATGGATGCGATAGTTAGGGTATAACACATGTATTTTGAGTAAAGCATGCTTTTATCAGCTGCTATACCCAATTTACTCAACTTAAGTTTATTATAGGTATAGCAGAAATAAAATTTTAGATGTAATGAAGTTTTATTTAAATTCTGTTTTATGATATTATTAAACATTTAAAAAAAATTAAAAAGTTTTAATTCCCATTAAAATCAGGATCTTTCCGAAAATCTTAACAGGATCTTTTCTAAAATCTTTTTATTGTCCTATTTTTCTCTTGTTTAACTTTAATATCTAAAGTTCTTGTATTTGTAGTTAGTATTTTTTTTTTCTTCATTTCTTATTTCTTTTTACATCATTTTTTTTACAACCTTTCATCAGTTGTAAGAACTTCTCCACAACTTTCTTGTACTCTTCATCTCTTAGACCTAGATTTTTTCAAAGCTGTACGCACATCTTCAAGTTGATCAGATGATATTGTGGTTTTTTAATATTTTGTTGCTAAGTTGTATATTAAATAATTTCAAACTATATCAGGCTGATTTATATACTTTTTTACATCAGTTTAGGTTTATAAGCGCATTAATTACATTGCTATTGTTTTTAGGTACGAACCATCCCTCAACAATGGCAAAAAAAACTAGCATCGCAGACTATTTAAGCAATGCGGAAAAATATAATGAAGCTTTAGAAGTTTATTATTCTATTGATAAAACACAAACTGAAATGTTAGGTATCAACCACCCGTCAACTCTGGCAACAAAACATAATATTGCAAGCTGTTTAAAAAAATTGAGAAAATATAACGAAGCTTTAGAAATCTATTATTATGTTGATAAAATAAAAACTGAAATCTTAGGTATCAACCATCCAGATTCAATGACAACAAAAAATAGTATTGCAGACTGTTTGAGCGATATGGGAAAGTATAATGAAGCTTTAGAAATTTATTATTCTGTTGATAAAATAAATACTGAAATTTTAGGTATCAACCATCAAAATACAGTAGGAACAAAACGTAATATCGCAGACTGTTTCAGCAGTATGGAAAAATATAACGAAGCTTTACAAATCTATTATTCTGTTGATAAAACACAAACTGAAATTTTAGGGGTCAGCCATCCCTCAACTCTGGAAACAAAATATAATATTGCAAGCTGTTTAAAAAAATCGGGAAAGTATAACGAAGCTTTAGAAATCTATTATTATGTTGATAAAATAAAAACTGAAATCTTAGGTATCAACCATCCAGAGACTGTAGACACAAAACGCAATATCGCAGACTGTTTCAGCAGTATGGAGAAATATAATGAAGCTTTAGAAATTTATTATTCCATTGATAAAATAAAAACTAAAATTTTAGGTATCAACCATTTAGATACACTGAGAACAAAACATAATATCGCAAGCTGTTTGTACGCCTTGAGTAAATGCAATGAAGCTTTAGAAATATATTATTCTGTTGATAAAATAAAAACTGAAATTTTAGGTATGAACCATCCAGATACACTAAGAACAAAACATATAATCGCAAACTGTTTGTATGCTATGGGAAAATATAATGAAGCGTTAGAAATTTATTATTCTGTTGATAAAATAAAAGCTGAAAATGTAGGTATCAACCATCCAGATACATTGAGAACGAAACATGATATCGCAAACTGTTTGTACGCTATGGGAAAATATAATGAAGCTTTAGAAATTTATTATTATGTTGACAAAATAAAAATTGAAACTTTAGATATCAACCATCCAGATACAATAAGAACAAAACATAAAATCGCAAACTGTTTGTACGCTATGGGAAAATATACTGAAGCTTTAGCAATTTATTATTTTGTTGATAAAATACGAACGGAAATTTTAGGTATGAACCATCCAGATACAATAGAAACAAAAAATAATATCGCAGACTGTTTAAGCGATATGGAAAAATATAACAAAGCTTTAGAAAATTATTATTTTGTTATAAAACACAAACTTAAATTATAGGTATCAACTATCCAGATACTATGAGACCAAGAGATAATATCGCAGACTGTTTTAGCGAAATGGAAAAACAAAGCAAAGCTTTAGCAATATTTTATTCCGTTGATAAAATAAAAACTGAAATCTATTAACCATCCCTCAACAATGTCAACAAAAAATATTATTGCAGACTCTTTGAGTGATATGGGAAAATATAACGAATCTTTAGAAATTTAGTATTTTGATGATGGAATACAAATGAAATTATAGGTGTCAAACATTCTTCCACGCGGACTACAAAATATGATGTCGCCGGTTGTCTGTTTTGGAATGAAAATCTGATCATAGACAACATCACAATTAGTTTTTTGATCAATTAAAAAATAACTTAACACTGTTTGTTTTTTTAATTCTAAATATCGATTATTGAATAAAAATTTGACGATTTTTGTTTTTGTTTTAAAAAGTTCAAAAAACCTAATGGCGAGTTTCCACTTACAGGAAAGTTTCTGTGGAACAAAATGAAGAAGAAACTTATTTAATCTTGTAGTATAAAAATTTTTTTGTAACTTGAAATCCTCCTCAGGTCTATTATAACACCTAAAACTCCTTTGCATATATAGTTTTAAATAAATAATGTTTGACATGCTGGTCACCAAAGTAAAAGTTTTCTAACAAGTTGTTATATTTTGTTCGAAAGTATTTGAGGTAATATTATTAACATTTTTATTATAACTATAGAATACTAGCTGTTCGGGTTCCGTAAGTGTCAAATCCGGAAAAATTTTTACTAGTAGGCAATTTTTTGTGGACTATAAAGAAATACAAAACGATTTTATTTTTTTTTAATTACTTTTTACCTTGTGCTGGCCTCATCAAGTTTTAAAAAAAAAAAGCGTTTTTTTTTTTAAGTTGTGTACCAAAAAAAAAATGGATACTATTTTAACAAATAAATGTTTATGTCGTTTAAAAGACGTATACCAAAAATTATTAATGTAGGTTAATTTTCAGGCCTTGTGCCAGCCCTGTAACCATTGTGGACATTTTTACCAGTTGTAATCAATCATTTTCTGAAATCCAGATTTTTCTGGCGGAGGGTCTTCTGATAAAGAAAGAGCTCTAATTTTTTTTAGGTATGCCTAAATAAATTATAAAAACATTTTACATGTAATCAATAGTATATTTTAATTATCTCCCTGAACTGAAGTAGGTGGTGGCGTTGGTGGGGGAAGACACCCTACTCAACCTATTTTTAATACTAGAGCAAACAAATTATGATAAAAAGTGTAACAAAAATTAAATACAGCAATAAAAAATAACTAGTTCTCATTAGCAGCCATCTTGGTCACCAAACAGTTGTTACACAGCATTAACATCAAAAAACAAATCAGTGCTAATATCTGATTCAGCATCTATTTCACATGAGCTAAATACCACTTATGTCAGAGAATTTCTTTAAAAGCTGAGCTGGTGTTTTCTGCACAGGTGATTTGCGGTAAGAAATTTTTTGTCTTTCAGCTTTACAGTTCTTTCTCTAAATTGTTGACGACAACCACGTTTTTGACGTACGACTGGAAGTCTAAATAATCAGTAATAATTCAGCAGTGATGAAGCCAATCAGTTCTTGCCGCTTGTCAAGTGCAGACATTTCTTTTATTACAGATAAAAAATTTTTGTTATTATGTATATCCATGACATAGTCAGTGCTGTCAAAGCTACCACCTTCCCACTCAAAATCAGCCATTAGGGCCACAAATTCTTAAAAAATTTTCCACTATGTATTAACGAAAAAAAAAAGCGTCCTTACTTTGCAAAAGGCCCACTAAACTTTCAGAGCCGAGCCAAGGCTCGGGACGTAGTCATCTGGTCGAGGCATCTTGTAGAGCCTTTTGGTTACCCTCTCCTTTTTTTATTTAGTGATTGAAGAGTCTAAATTTATCAGAAAAATTAAAACAACAGGTGGATTCATGTACCAACTATAGTTTTCTGATGACTTACACTTCACACTGGCAGGAGGTTCATTCTCAATAAATTTGGACATCCTGATAGAATACTAGTCTTGATAAATAAAAAATGACATGCTTTTGTAAATTCATAAAACTCTCTATATATATAAATCATCAAATAATATAAAATAACTACCCACAAAATTCAACACAAAAGATAAAAAAAAACCGCCTAATAGATAATTACAATTAAATCAATTCAAAACTATCAATAAAAAAACCCTTTTAATTGAACTTTCAAGTACCAAATTTACACTCCTCCATGGCCCTTAAGGATCATACAAATAATAATCGATGTATTTTTGAGGCATGCACCATTCTCGAGTACTTGGTGGCAACGTCACAGAGGTGACGTTGCCACCAAGTACTCGAGAACGGTGAATTCGAGAACGGTGAACTTGAGAACGGTGAACTCGAGAACAAAAAAAAAATGTGAAGCCTTGGTTCTTGGAACCAAGGCTTCACTTTTTTTTTTTGTGTGTCTTTTTGACTCGTCTCCAGCACACTTTTACATTAATATTAATAATTATTAAATAGTATTAATTTTTTATTAAAGTGGTACCCAGCCATTATTTCTATTTTATTTTATTTTACCCATAGTAAATACCTTTTTATGAATTACTAGCATAATAGATAAAAATCTAAAACGTATTGCAAATATTTTTTTATTTGAAAAAAAGATTTGCTGACTCAGCAAAAAAAAGTTTAAAAGTTAACGTCTCAAGAACATAAATATCTTAAGATTACATCATTATTAATGGTTGAAATTTTGCAAAACAATAGTATATTAGTGTAGCCTGTGTCTGAATCAAATAATTTTTTAAAGTATTTAAACGATCAAAAATGGCAGACTCAATACTATAAAAACTGTTTTTAACGATAAAACACTTATTTGATATGGTTAAGTTTAATAAGTTTAATAAGTTATGGTTAATAAGTTTATGTTTATAATAAGTTATGGTTAATAAGTTATGGTTTAATAAGTTATGGTTAAGTTGATAAGTTAAGTTTAATTTTTTTAGTTTTCAGGCACTAAAAACATTAATAATGAGCATATCCAGAAAATTTGAACCTAAAATAATGTTTTTTTATTGAGATTGTTTTTCTATAGTTACTCATAAAAAAAAACAAAAATTGAGAAAAATCAGTTTTAAAATTATAAATCATGTACACTCACATATGTTACATGTCTCACTCACATATGTTACATGTCTCACTCACATATGTTACATGTCTCACTCACATATGTTACATGTCTCACTCACATATGTTACATATGTGTACTCACTCACATATGTTATATATGTGTACTCACTCACTCACATAAATCATTTGAGAAAAATATTAGTGATATTCTAAAATTATTTTGGAAAAAAATTTTTTACTATTGAATTCTACAAAGTTCTAAATAACATTTTTTCAAATTTTTCATTTTTTTTTTCATTTTTTACCAAAATAATGGCTGGATACCACCTTAATGATCTATACAAAGGCTCGGATTTAATTACAATTATGTTTGCTGATGATACTAACTTATTTATGTCACACAAAAGCATTCCTACTCTACTTCATTACGTAAACATCGAGTTAATCAAAGTATCCGACTAGTTTAATACTAACAAATATCTTAACATTGATAAAACTAAATGATTTCTTTTCCGTCCTCTTATCAAAAAGCATAAACTGCCAATAAACATTCCTCAACTGAATGATAAAAATATACAAATTAAAAAAGTAACAGTAACCTACTTTATGGGTATAGATGAAAATCT